CTCACGGACACTATGTGCCGACAATGCTGCAATCTCATTGGTCCGTGGTTGTTGTATGATGTGTCGGCCTCTGAAAGCACACGCCCAGGGCCTTAGCTGTACGGGGCCTTGGCTCAACTGCCCGTCGAGGCTGCAACTTCTGGAAAGAGCCTAGAGAGGCTCACATTGCTCTGTAACCAACTGGTATGCTGCAACTGTCTGATACCCACATATGGAAAAATGTCAAGTCTTGGCCTCTTGTGAATATTCAGGCCCGCCTTCACTTAGGGCGGGCACAGGGTTTGCTGAGGGCCTCGGCCCAGAACAGGTGCATGTCTGTTAAGGGGCCCACGAGGGCTCATTCCCCGCACATATACGACCCCTTTAGGGTGAGCACACTGGCCTGTACCCAGGCCTTGGCACATATTGGCAGGCCCGACTTCACTTAGGGCGGGCAAGGCCTTTCCCAGCACTACTGAGGGGTCAAATCCTTGCACCAATCTCAATGCACAGACTTGTTAATAGGTTCTCAAGGGACTTCGAACTGAGGTGGAGGGAGTGTTGGGCTCAGGGGGATTTGAACCTGAGACCTGGCCCAAGTGTGAAACAAAAACAAGTTGTGTTTATTTTGTTTTTCAAGTTTGCTGCCAGTCAGATTCGAACCAGGGACCTCCAAGTAAACATACTGTTAGCTGATCTTGGACACATAGGAGCCTATAGGACCTAGACCACTAAATTTCTCTAGGTCAGAGGCCGGTAGGACCTTGTAGGCCCAGGCAAAATTGGCATAACAAATGTGACGAGCTAGGACTACAGTTCATTCACTTTTCAGTCCGTGATTTTGGTAGAGTGAAGAGAAGGAGCAGCAGCGCCAATCTTGGCAGCTGAAGGAGAGGGTTTGGGTGCAGCCATAGCCAGTGTGTTCTGGCTCTGTACTGCACGGTTTTGAGCGCCGTTTGTTGCAGACTGCTCAGTGCAGCCTGGCCCTCAAGTGGACATCACCTTTTCTTTTTTTTTTCATAAAGTGTGCTGGTGTGATCTCGCAATATGAGCTTGTTGTCAAGCTTCTCCCCAATTGCCATCTTCAAGATTGGTCTTCACTTCTGCGCATGGAAAGAAGTTGAAGTTTTGCAAATTCTTAACAATAGCTGTTATACACATGCCATATTTGACAAATCCATTCCCCTAAATAGTTCGTTTTCCAAACCCCCCCCTGTTGCTCCTCACTATTTAGAAGCCCCAAATTCACTCCGTAAGATGTGGTATCTATGGAGTGGTTTTGAGATGTGTTGCACTCAGAGTTTGATGTCTGCGGCCTTGGCCTCTTTTCACCTTCGAGGATTCCTAGTCACTGGCAGTCAGTCCGTGGGGATCACCGCATCTCTTTCCAGTGTCAGAGGCAAAGGAACCTAGTTACTCTGCTCATCACACCTTCTTGTTATCTGCCCACTTGCCAACAGTTCATCAACAAATGTACACAACATTGACTGTTGTCAATCAGAAGGGAAGGACCATGGGATCAATGTCATAGATTGCCTGAAGCTTGTGAACAAAGTAATATGTACTTGTGAAAACAAGATGTAAGGCTGTGATAGAAAGCAATCTCTATGTGCATATGAATGCACGTAAGAATGTAGGTATGTACATCTGTATGCTCATATGTAGGTAGCTTCGTAAGCACATAGGTAGGTACGCATGTACACCAGTAGGTAGGCAGGTAGGCAGGTAGGCAGGTAGGCAGGTAGGCAGGGAGGCAGGGAGGCAGGGAGGTAGGTAGGTAGGTGGGTAGGTAGGTAGGTAGGTAGGTAGGTAGGTAGGTAGGTAGGGAGGGAGGGAGGGAGGGATGCAGGGAGGTAGGCACGGATGTAGGCAGAGAGGCAGGTAGGCAGGGAGGGGGGCAGGTAGGGAGGCAGGAAGGTCGGGAGGACGGTAGGCAGGGATGCAGGTAGGCAGGGATCCAGGCAGGCAAGCAGGCATGTAGACAGGCAGGCAGGCAGTAGTCAGGGACGCAGGCAGGGAGGTAGGCAGGCAAATAGGGCGGGCAGGAGGCAGGTATGCAGGCAAGTAGGGAGGCAGGCAGGGAGGGAGGCAGGGAGGGAGGGAGGGAGGAGGGGTAGGTAGGTGGGCGGGTATGTAGGTGGGCAGGTAGGTAAGTGGGTGGGTGAGTAGTTGGCTGGCCGGCGGGTAGGTAGGTTCGTGGGTGAGTGGGTGAGCGGGTGAGTGGGTGAGCGGGTGAGTGGGTGAGCGGGTGAGTAAGTGGGTAGGTAGGTGGGTGGGTAGGTAGGCAGGTTGGTAGGGAGGAAGGTTGGTAGGCGGGTAGGAGTGGGTAGGCGGGCAGGCGGTTAGGTGGGTAGGTGGGTAGGTGGGTAGGTGAGTAGGTGGGTAGGTGGGTACGTGGGTAGGTCGGTAGGTGGGTAGTTGGGTAGGTAGGTAGGTGGGTAGGTTGGCAGGTGGGTAGGTACGTGCGTAGGTAGGTAGGTGGGTAGGTAGCTGCATAGGTGGGTAGGTAGGTAGGTAGGTAGGTAGGTAGGTAGGTAGGTAGGTAGGTAGGTAGGTAGGTTCTGGAGGAAACTGTACGTATTCAGGCCCTGAGTGGCCTTGACAGAAATAGTGTGAAGAGCCGTCCCACTTTCAAGCCACCAGTATTGCCGAACCTGTTTTGTCCAACCAAAATTTTCACCGGCCCTGGCCTGCCTGACCTGAAATGTTGTGGCCTACCTGTTCACAGCGACTCTGATTGACATATGCATTGGGTTTGCACCAAACTTTGTTTCCTAGACAAAAACATTTTTGTATAGTTGTCAAATATTGTGTCCTGCTACAGAAGAACCTATCCTACATCCCCGATTTGTTTCAGAAACTTTTCTGGATGGAAATGAGAATAAAAAATTGCAAAGGCCCAATGGAACCCCACTTGGGTCTGGCAGGCCGAGCCCTTCCACGCCCTTCGCGTATGGGCAAGGGCTTTGGAAGGCCTTTGAGAGACTGGTGGTTTGCGGAAATGAGGATTACCATGTTTATCTCCGTGAGATGTGTGACCTGCTTATGGGCACGTATAACATGCTCCAGGGATTTCTTCATGTACCGCGAAAACAGCTCCAGTAGTATTCCCTGCTCATTTTTGTCTCCTCTTTTTTCGATCCAGGTCTCAATAAATGGCTCCCATCCAATATCGTCTTTGTTGAGATAGATAACTCCACCTCGGGAAACAGTGGCAGGTGATGCCTGACGCATTGTATACACCTCAAAGAGAAGGCGCATGGTTGGGGTGAGGGGAATCCTCTCATTGCTGGCCAAAGTCAGGATCTTGTTGTCATCCATGACAGTGTTCATGGATTCAATCCACTCTGCATCAATATCACCATCAAAGACGATCCATTGGTGTGGTACATTATGCATATACCACGCAAAGTCACGAAAAGTCGTTGAGATCAAACCCTCTTTCCATTCTCTTGTCGTCGGATGCAGACATCCATACAGTTCATTCCTGGTCACAGCCTTTGGGTTGATTGGCCGGTACACTGTTTTTTCGCCATGAAGACCCTGCGCTTTTGCAAGAACTTTCCAGACAGTAGACTTCCCACATCCGGCTGACCCTAGAATAAACACAGACCATCGCACCTCCAAAAGCTCTCGGAGCTGTGTGACCTTAAGTAAGAACTTCGCTTCCGGCTGCAGTTTCTGCTCCCTTGTGGCCTTTTTCACATCCTCCTCAAAGCGAGTATCTACCACACGGGGAACCTGCCAAACAGCATATGGCCATCACATCCAAACTCATATGGAGTTACTACTTGCAACAGCAACAGACGGACATCATGCACCTGTCACCATTGTAGTTGTTTGCACTTTTGCCATGTTGGTTGTGGGTGGTTGTGCTTTCTGCATCACGAATGGTGCATACTCATGACGCTTGAGTTGCAGCATCACAATGGAATCACACACAACATTAAACCAACACCACCCCTTGCATATTCCCTGGGTCATTTCAATATACACGGCAGCAGCTGCCTGGCTCATAGCAGCCTGGAGGAGGTCAAGGGTGGGGGCAGAGGAAGTTGAAGCAGTGGATTGCAACGTTGTTCTCTTGCTGCCAGTGTCCAAGGCCTGGCGCGTCCAGGGTCCTGCAAAAGTTGGGTCTGACAAAATAGGTTTGGGAGCAGTGGCAGTTTAAGAGACCTTGGTTGGTTTGTATGTCCAAACAACTGATGGATCGACCCTGCAAGGAATTGAAGTTATTGAACCGATGATCTCGCGCTCAACTGTCAGGCGCCTTAACCACCACTCCAACCCTGTTCTGCTGCAGCAGATCCGTACATTCCTCCACACACGGCATCCCTATGGGACCCCCCTACAGAACTTAACCCTTCCGCACATAGCCACCTCCTCCAAGTATTATTCCCCGGACAATTACCACGCAAATCTGTTGGTTTGTATGTCCAACAACTGATGGATCGACCTGCAAGGAACCGGCTTTCTCACACTCAAAGGACAGACGCCTTAACCACTGCAGTCGTGACTCGGTGTTCAAAAGTGGAACCATACCGCTTGTGATATCTGCCCCATCCCTGCACGGCTGCAGTAACTAGTTTGTGCAGTCAAATGACAATTGCGTTTGAAATACAGTACTGACAACTAATGTTTAGCTCTTCTGTCAAACCGAGGATAACCAAGGTGATCCAGCCTGTGTGGCTGAATGGCATTCACATCTAACCGTTTGCAAACAGATCACGAGCTCAGATCCTGATCAGAACCAGGTCGATCAACAATGTTAGGGGCTACCCCTATAACAAAAAAAAAAAGGCCTGCTCACCAGCCTTAGGGCATGGTTCCAATAATCCATTGGGCGTAAACTCTTTCAACCGCCACTCCATCTGAACCTGTTTTGACAAACCAAAAGTTGCATTTCCCCGAGCCTAAAATCTACAGTGCCGCCGTGAAAAAAAAATAATTGTGGTATCATTCCCCACCGAACCTCTAGTGGGTCTAGGCACCATAGATTTTGCCCCGGTAGTTGTAGACAAGGAACATGAACAGTGCAGAGGAGGTTGGAGTCGTGGTTTAATAGGAGATCATAGTTATGTAATGCAAATGACAACAGGAAGGAATGGAGGTGTTAAGAGCCATGACCATTCAATCATAAGGTGGGAAAGAAAAGACAAAAAGAGAAGTGGAACGTCTAGCATACAACAAAGACTTGGCCACTCAGACACTAACTCAAGCCACTACAGAATTCAAGAGCATATGAGCAGAGAAGAGTATGATGACAAAAAGCATGCCATCTGATAGATAACATTAGCCAAAATACTTGAAAATGAAATCAGCTAGACTACTGGGTAATGCACCAAGAGCTGAAAAACAGAAGGGTGGGGGGTGAGGGGGAGACATCGGATTTTTGGATGAGGTAGAGAGGGAAGGAGGAGGGACGGGGAATGGAGGAGTGGGGAAAGAGATGGAAGGGGAGACATCCTATATTCAATATCTTTGTTTGTAGCACTTCACATGCAATTAATTATTAATATCATAACATGTTGAATGTGTCCTCCGTATGGAAGTTTAACTAGTTCTTTGTTGTGAACAAAATCTGATGGCCAGAGGGCGACTGCGCCGCCCCGGTGAGCGCATGTTCAAATTCGGAAGGGCACGCACGACGCGAAGACGGGCGCGAAACCGCCGCGCCTTTTACTCGTTTTTCGAACATGCGATTCTGCGCGGGAAAGTGACGTGAGGGCGAGAAGCCCCACGACGCCACGCCACGCCTACGGGCGTGGCCACATGAAGTACGGAGACAACAGGGGGGGAGAGAGAGAGGAGAGAGGGGGACAAGGAGAGGAGGAACAATCGAACGAACAGCGCGAAGCACGACTATAAGCAAGAAAGGACGAGGGACGTAAGAGGATTCAGGAGGAGGACAGAAGCAGGAATGGAGCAATGATAGCAAGGGAGCGTGGTAGCCAGAATTTCGGCCAACGGGAGGAGAGACTCCTCTGGACAGGGAGCAGGAACCGGTAAAACCTCTTATGCAACGCATCCCCACATCGTGCAAGTTCCGAAAACTCCCAAGAACGCCTACAGTAAGTTAAAAGTCCACTCAAGCACCTCCTCCGACCCCACCTGACGCCTGCGACAGTGGAAGGACAAGAACCCAAGCGACAGCAAACGACAGCAGCGAGAACGGAAGGGACAAGTGCTCGAGGACTCCCAGCCAAACCTGGGAACAGAAAGCAGGAAGACGAGAACCACAAATCGTAGATCCTAACATCACCCAAACACGGCACGAAGAGGAAGTACAGATCACCAACAGCACTCCCCGCCCGCCATTCTCGACAGTCACATTCCCGAGCAGCGATGATCCCTACCCCGGCCCCTCCGCTTTTAGTCAACCCCCCTACCCGCTCCCCTATCACTGCCCCCGACACATCTTACCCCTCCCCCTCCTCCCCCCCCCCACCAGTTTCCTGCCACTCGCCCAACAAACACGCCAACAACAAGGAAACCAGATCCGGAAGCGGAATAAATTTAGATTATTGATTTCTTTTAACATCATTAACAATTATTCAGTATTCAACATTTCTCGTTTTAGCATTATTTTCAGTACTCAAATATTCGCTGTAGCCTTTCAATTTTCGTCGCCATTTACTACACTTCATCTTCGCCCCTTTTTACGAGGGCACAATTGCCGAAAAGACATATTGCACATCTAATTTTAAAGAGCTTTTATCATTATTTGTAAGAACAGTCTATATCGGCATATGTCTGGAATTCCTATCCCTCACAAAGAGGTAATGAACCACTACCCACCTGTGAGACTGATCAGGCTCTAGCTTCCTTCCATCATCTTCTGATTAGGATCCCACATCCTCCAGCAGCTGGATCTTCCCAGCAAACAGCGCTGGGCCGAAATCGATCTCTGAACGGGGAGGCAAACCGCCACAGTTTTCGACCCCGTAAAGGACACCCCGCACCGCAGGTAAAGCTCCGCAGGCCTCTGATTCAGCCATGGCGGCAACATATGCCCAAGCCGCCCGCAGAGCGTTGAATCAGCCCACAGCCGCAAACCCCGCTGCCTCCCTGACTTCGAGCACCCCCTCCCAGACCTCTTCAGAGAGCACTCGACGAGCTTCACCCACCCCGAAAACTCTGGGGCAGAGAGCTATCGATTTCCTAATGAGCAAGACAGAAATAAAGGAAGAAATCATCAAAACTAAGGAAATCAGAAAAAACACAGCAGGGAAAGAAATGGAAGTGGAAATCTGGGAATATCCCAAACAGCAACTGCAATCACTGAACGAGTTGTATGAAAAACACGCAGTGCTGTTTAACTTCACGAACAAGAACAAAGATCTACCTCTAAACGAAAAGAGGAAGTGAGTCAGGGATAGGCTGATAGTAATGGAAAGTGTTCCGGGCACGGAACCCGAGGTGTCCTACCACAAAAGAGGAAGATACACGGTAATGCTGCTGTGTGACATACGCACAGTTTTTAACGTCCCTGGGTTCCCTGAAGTGCAAGGGGCTGGTCGTTACGATCCAGTCATGGAAGCCTCCCAGAGAGCCCCAAGCCGAAGCATCCCGCCACCATCAGACGATGCTCATAGATCATTTCTGGGTGCAGTTCAATAACCTCTCTGAAGGCCTACACAGCTTCGTGCAAAAGAGGTTGCAAGAGGAGTACCCCAACAATCCAATCATAGATTGGCTGCCGGCAAACCCAGAGTTCATGGGTCCAAACCATGACGCACGGGTAGCATGTCTCGAGGTATCGTCAGGAACACCACCTAAATTCCCTGAAGTCTGGATTTTCAGAAAAAGCGAACAAAAACTAAATGTTTTTCTATCCACCAAGACAAACCCATACTGTTTCCGCTGCAGGAACAGAGGTCACCTTGACATGCGTTGTCCGCTAACAGGGGACACGACAAGGAAGATCACACTCACTGCAGGAACAGAGATCACACTCAAACAGTCAAGGAACAGAGATCACACTCAAACAGTCAATGTTGGTAGAGTGTGACACAAAGTCGGGGGTATGGCACATAAACGAAGCTCAATACAAGGGGTGGATATTCGACGACAACTTGGAGAGCCTGAGATGGATCTGGGTCCTCCCGGGGGAACCCAAGTTGAAGCCAGATATCTACCCCCCCTACCCCCCCTACGACAATAGATGGAGGGAAGTAGGGGCCAAAAGGATGGACGACAAATGCACAGGGTTTCTGACAGCACGGGTAATCAAAGAGGCAAGTCTGTTGGATGAAAAACAAAGACTGGATACAATGAGAGAGTTGCACGAGATAGGGAAAAACGAGGAGAAAGCATATCTGGAAAACCAAAGAGCAAGAGTCCCGTCAGAAAACCAACAGGATTTGGTCTGCTCGACACCCAGGTCGGTCGCAACCGCCAGACAGGAAGGCGGCAGTTTGCGGACGAACGGATCTTCGAAACGCAAATAGGACTCACCCTGTGAATCCGTGACAAACGGGACCGGAAGAAGGAGATAGAATACGATAGGACTCGCAAGCGCTCTTTCCGCTGACAGGGGCGAGGGATGCAGCAAGCACACTGATCAACCGTCCAACACAAAGGAAGGGTATGCAAAGGAAACAGAGGGGAACACACCAGCGGGAATGGAGGAGGATCATTCCTAACAACCAAGCTCGGAGGACAGCATGGACTGCTCACAAACAGAGGTAGATAGGGGTACCAAGAGGGCACGGCTGGAGAGCGTTTCGGAAAGATTAGAC